CCCCTCGCAGGCGGAGGGGGTCGCTGAAGCGGCCGCGCCACAAAGCGGCTCAGCTGGGCTGGAGGGCGGAGCACGAGCGCTGTAAGCAGCCGCCTCGTTAGCGCAGTAGGTAGCGCGTCAGTCTCATAATCTGAAGGTCGTGAGTTCGATCCTCACACGGGGCAGCAGAGCTTTTTTTTCCTCCTCCCCACTACTCAGTGCTGGTTCGAGTTGGCTTGTGGCTTCAGAAGGCCAGGGGAGGGAGCAGCTCAAGCCCTGCTACAGCCTTTTCCCAAGTCAGTGTTGGGAGCTGCAGATGGAGGTGGCCCAGGGTGGGCTGTGATCTGGGGGACAGTGACAGCAGGATCGTGTGTGTGTGTGTGTGAGCAATTCTGTCACCTAGCCCACCCTCTGCTCATCTTATAATGCTGGTCTTACACCTTCCCCTCCGGTTGTATCTGTCCCAGCCCCCCTCTCCTCCCCACTCTTGGCTGTCTGCAAGAGTTCTGTAGGCAGAGCTTGAGTGCCACTAGCAGGTACGCAAGGCACCCGTTTGGTGTCAGGCAACGGAGGCTGTGGTACTGCTCTGGCTCAGTGGGTGACAGCACCACTGCCCTCTGTGGCAAAGCATGTTCCCCTTCCTAGGGCCTGCGGTTGTTGTAGCAACCTCGGGGAGACTGCACATTCCCTGCTCCCCGCCAGCTGCCAAACCAGACTAGCCCCTGCTGCAAGTTAATATGTTTAACCAATTAAATGACACCACTTAATTGTTTTAACTTAGGGCCTGCTCCCTTGCCCTGCCAGCACCATGGCTGGGGGGGAGGGGGTCTCATCACAGCTGTGGGGGTCCAGCTGGTAAGCATTTTACATCCCTAGCCACAACCATCCAAACCCAAAGTACATCATGCCTGGCTGGCTCTAGGGCAGGGGTTCCTAGACTTTTTGACACGGTGTCAGCCAACGGTCAGGGCAGTGTGTGTGTGTATGCTTCTGAGAAAAGGTTTAACGTCCGTGTCTTTACTGCTAGGACCGGGGTCCTGTCGCAGAGTCTGCAAGAGTTCTGTAGGCAGAGCTTGAGTGCCACTAGCAGGTACGCAAGGCACCCGTTTGGTGTCAGGCAACGGAGGCTGTGGTACTGCTCTGGCTCAGTGGGTGACAGCACCACTGCCCTCTGTGGCAAAGCATGTTCCCCTTCCTAGGGCCTGCGGTTGTTGTAGCAAGTGACACAGATCCAAACGCCCAAGCTCTCCTTATGTCTGTCTCTTTATGACCGGCTGAAGTTCTTTTAAATTGTGCTTGATTCTGTTACAGCAACTGAAGGAGTTAGGTTAAAGCTTAAACAGTTACAGGTTTATTAAAAGACTTATAAAAGCATATGGTTACAATGGCTATTGCTCTATTTTTTAAATGAGCCACAACCATCCAAACCCAAAGTACATCATGCCTGGCTGGCTCTAGGGCAGGGGTTCCTAGACTTTTTGACACGGGGACCAGTAAATCCATTCACCAGCTTTTGGAGGACCAATAACATTCATTTGCATATTCATTAAGCAAATGATGAATATTCAAATAAGTTGTCTCTGGTCCTCCCAAAGCCCCCAGTGCCAGCTAAATTAGCAAAGCTTTAGATACAGACACCCACAATATTCTTGCCAGCAAGCTAAGGGAATATGGATTGGATAAATGGACTGTAAGATGGATAGAAAGCTGGTTAGATCAGGGTTTCCCGAGCTTTTTACTTTAGTTGGAACCCGTTTTTTTTTCAGTACTGTTTTTTGCAGCCCCAAAATATAAACATATAAAAAAAGAATGAAAAACGAATAAATTTTCAGTGTTTCACCAGCCTGCATTCTCCGCCCAGCCTGGGCCAGGGTTTGGGGGACCCGGTGCCGCATGGGCACTCCAGGAGGCGGGAGAGGAGCAGATTGGGGGTAGGGTATCTGGCTAGGAGGGAGGGTGCAAGGAGGGGTAGGGTTGCCAGGTGTCCGGTTTTGTACTGGACAGTCTGGTATTTGAGGGTTTTGTCGGGAAAAAAAATTGAGAAATTACCAGACATATAAAAATGTCTGGTATTTTCTAATTAGGTAAGTTTTATTATAATTAGATGTATCAGTCCTTAGCTGTGAACTGCCTGGCTGGTAGATGTGCTCA